GCTTAGTGGCTCGAGCGCAGCCACGGAGAGCGGTGGACGGAACTTAAGGAACGATCGAGGGGAAGAGAGAGAATGAGAGAGAGTCGGTCTGGAGGAAGAAAGAGGAGACGAGAGAGCTCGCGAGGAGGAGAAGAAGACCTTAGAAGCGGGTTATTACCGTCTTGTTAGGCGGTGGAAGGCAGCTGCTCTCCATTTAAGTTCGAACAATTAAATTGTCTGGTCCCGCGATCTGACCACCTTCTCGTTATACCTACTCATCTTCCTCGTTGCCTCGTTGCTTAACGCGACGACAGTTCGGGGCGGCTATGAGACACGTTATTTGTTCATGCATTTGAGGCAGATCGAGTCGTCGATGTCCGCCGTAATTAGCTCGGGACGATGAAGAGGAGGTGATCCGCCTCGATGTTATCGCAATATTGATGATAACTTGGAGGGGAAGCCATTTCTTATCCGGGGGAGAACGCACCGTAACTTTCTCCCTTAAGTCCAGTCGAAATATATCATTTATCGCGTTGCGCCGCTTCGCACCACGTCACTTCGGAACGACAAAAATCGTGCTATGAGGCGTGACCGGACGAAAACAGGATGCGGACGGTTTCGGACGAGCCGTGGTATGTTAACGCGTAACGAGGCGCACCCAAGATCAAATTATTATTTTCCTTTCTGCCGCGAGGATTGACTTTTTATTCCATGCCTCCGCCTAAGGGCTATTAAACGAACTGTGCGATTCTGTTGCGATCGATTTGGGTGCGGCGCGTATCATCGACCGACAACCTGTGACAGACAGGGTACTTCCTTTCGCTGTCTCAACCCGTTAAAAGCTTCTTAAAAGCCAACGCTTCACACCTCGTGTTTTAGTTCTCGATACACGCGGATCAATTAGAGATACGAGAAATCATACAACAAAGATGAATTAATATATAAATATTAATTGATCGTTCATAAGATATACTACTTCTAAGTCGTATCGTCCTTCGTAAAGTGATGCGAAGTAAACCCAAAGTGGGAACGTACAAGTACATCTCCGAAGTATTTCCGCGTCTGTGCGTCAGACGAGTGCATTTTTAACAAGTACTTGTGGCGTGGTTTTAACATAAAAGCTTTTGTTACGCCGTTGTTACGCCGACTGCTCCGCGTGCAATGAAGAACGACAGGAAGGTACGCTCTTGTCACATTCCTCAACGATCACAACAATCTCATCGCTCTGAGTGATTGTTCTCTGACGGATCGTCACTTCGATCGCTGCCATAAATTCGTGCTTGCGTTTCACGATGCACTTACGTGCTCACGTACAGTCTGTAAAATTTCGTGGCTGCTCTTGAGAGTCCGCAGCGAATGATCCAGCGTGGCGCCGGAGGGCTCTTCGCGCGGGTTTTGGCCCCGCGACATTGATTCGACCATTATTCATCCCTGACATTCTCGATGATAGATTGCCGATGGCGTTGCTCGCGCGGTCGAATGACACGCCTTGCGCGCGTATTCTACGTAGATAGGTACATACGCTCGACTTCGGAACCCGAACGATGTCTCGTTTGTTGGTCCTTTTTTTTCAACGTACCAATAGAAAATCGCGTGGAAACACGTAGAACAGTTTCTCGAAGCATTTCTCGTTACATTCGATAAAATCGAATTCCGCAATGAGTCCGTTTCAATGATTATCGTTTCGAAGATTTTGAATTTACCTCGAAACATTTTATGGGATAAAAATGACAAACATTAAATATCACTGTATTATTTACATTAATAATTACAATAATTGTCAATTCGGTCATCTCAAAATTAATATTAAAACTAATATTTGTTGCTCATTTGTTGCTGAAAAATTATAAAAAAAGAAGATTTTATTATTCTGTAAATTTTCTTTAAAAATGAGAGGTTCCACTAAAGAAAGTTAACAGAACAATATACATGTATATCACAATGAGATATTACACATAACAATAACGTAAGAATTCATTGCTTATTTGTCCCTTACATTAATCCTGAGTTGCTTACAAGAGAAGTATGAACAATAATGAGAAATCTTTTTCTTTTTAGTGTATTTTCTGACAATAAATAAAAATATTCGTTAGAATCGATTCTATTCATTTCCCACTTATAAAATATGATTTTTTTTCACAGAACGATATTCTCCGATATCCAATAACTCACAATAAGGATTGAGTGAAAGTTAAGAACAATGTTGCCTTTAGAATGAAATTCGCCTTCTCCCCATTTAAGGTTTCTCAGCAGGATCATAAAAAGGGTCGCGTTAAAGGAAACGTAACCCCTTATTTTCTACACCGTATTGCGTAACGTTAAAATATCGAGATACTTCCGAGAAGAATTATCTTTTTAAGAGTCTCGACAATAGTGTCCTTGAAGCTTAAGTTTTGTTAGCCCTTGCATAGATCCGTCCCTGTAGACAGAACGCTGGAAGAAAGAGAGTACGGGATAAAAGCGGAAAGCGAGACGAGGAGCTGCATGCGAGAGCCGCATCATGCAACGAGGCGAGTCCTCGTGCACGAGTATCCGTAATGACAGATTACCGCGGCATTAATTCCTTGTTTAACCAACAAACAGCCTGCCCGGCATGCCGTTTAAGTAATAAAATATGGCGTCCGTGCCCTGGAGCAAAACGAGTTGAGTCTGCTGCCCTCCCACCGGTCGCCCTTTTACCATTCTTTCGTACCCGCCGTGGTACCCGCCATCGGGCGCGTGCATCGCAAGATGCACTTCGCATTCCGCGTCCGCCATCTTCGATCGGCCGCCCTCGATCTGTAATTTCTCTCTTCGCGGAATTCTTAATGTCCATCTCACGAGAGATACGCGCGCCGGGCAATAATGCTGGACGAGCGGACGATGCACTTCCGTTAGTCGAGACCTTTCGAACTTTTCTAGATTTTTTTCATTCTTTCAACAATCCACGTGGATTTTATCTCTTGAACGATTTACACCGAAAACAACGTTCGATAACAACGACGTGCAAAGTGCACATCGCGTTAACAGCTTTTTATTCCGGGGGTGCATGGGACGCTTCAAGGACCTCCACGATCGGTTCGGTATAATGAAAAGAACGAAAAAAAAAAAATATGAAAGTGCATAGTGGAGATCGCTGTTATAGTCGCCGCGCTGAGAGCGGAATAGCTTGTCGGGACGGAGAGAAAATGGCTAGTGATCACCGTCTTTCCTTCTAGTACCAACGACCCCTGGGCATTATCCCCCCCCTCCCCTCCCCTTCCCTCCCCTTTCTTCAGGCAGCGTCGAGCATTTGGCTCTCAACGGCGCGGAAGAACGCTCGATAGAAGGCGACGCTCGATAGAAAATGAAAGTTCGGCGCCCCAAAGCGCGTCGAGCGATTTCTCGTCGGAGAAACGCCGGGGGGCCGGTCGCCCGTTCACTGCAACGTTTTTGCGCGAACGATTAAAGCGAGACCGTCTTATCCCGATAAACGAACTCGCCGCATCCTCGCCGATCGTCTCGAAAGAACGGACGAATATTCTCTCGAATATCATTGTTCTATTCCTTCTGCTTTAAATCATTGCTCGCGTCTCTAATATAGATGCAGGCAAATGTAACTTAGTCTTCCTTCTCTCTTTGTCTCTTGCTCTTTCTCTCCCGATCGCTGCAGGTGCCGCCTCGGCGACAGAGAGTAAAGAGTGAGTTCTGTTCTGAAAGCGAACACGTTCGGAGATTCAAAGAGTGTTAATTAATTTTCTTTGCGCCGCGCGGTGGACTTTGACGTGCTCCAACCCGCGAGGTTTTTTCTTCGACACGGTCTTGTGTCTTCAACGGCGGAACTGCGCTTCTGTGAGCCTTGATATTCGTAATTTAAGTTGCTCATCAAAGAAAGATACCATTGTTGCTGAACAAGAGCGATCCGTTATGAACAGAATATCATAATATTTCTCTTGGTCTGCGACAAAAAAGTCAAGAAAAATGTTTCGATGGTTACGAAGAGAAAACATGACGCAGGAAACTTTTTTTTCATGGCTAATTATTGTCAAAGCTACTGACGATTTTATTTAAATTAAATGATATATCTTTCATTTAATGAAATCGAAGAATTACTTAATAATAATGAACATTCATGATATGTTTGTACTGTCCTTATAAGTTATTAAATCATATGCTTTAACCCTTTAGCATATATTTTTCTTTTTAACCTTTTGTGAAATTTAGTATATGAGTGGTTTCTCAGGTCGCTGATTACGAATCCAAAGTCAAAATATAAAAATATTGCATTCAAGATGGCGGATTCAAGACGGTGGATTAAAAATTCTTAATTAAAAATGAATTGTGTATGGAATTCGAATTCTAAGACTTTGAAGGATTTTAATTAAGAATCAGAGATCCAAATTTCTAAAATGGATTTTTGGAAGGATTTTGGATGAACGAATTTTGGAAGCATTTTTGAAAATTATAAAATTCAAATTTATACATTTTGTTTTCGCCATTTTGAATTAATAATTTTGAATTTTAGAAATCTGATTAGTAATTAGTGATCACAAAAACCTTCTACATGAAGTTTCAAGCGTTAAAGATTCGGTCAAAAATGAATTTTTCTGAAAAAAATAAGGTTTTTTTGATTTTTGTATTTATAAAGCTGTTACAATTAATAATAAGGACTACTAAACTCTTTTTTTTATAATCTTCTAAAACAGGAAACATAAAAAACCAGACCTAAATGCGTTAATTAGAAAATAAATGAAAAAACTGAAGAAGTTTAGATGGGTTATTACATGCTTCAAAGGGTTAAAAAGTTATCGATTCGCAAATTTGCATTTTTGGCGTGCACAAAAACAAATATATTAAAATCAATCAATGAATTTTACTTCTCAATATTGTTCATCGTCTATATTCATCATTAATCCAACTTTTAAGGAATATAAAAATTTTTATGCCGATGTTTTATGTAAATAGATTTTTCTTTTTTATTATTATGTACAACATTTTTTATTTTTTTACAAAAACCGCCCAGGCAATGTGCAACTTATGATACGCGCAATTTCTTCCGTAAATTTTCCTCTCCTATATCTCCATTTATCCGCGAGATAGTGCACAATCCGCAATAATATACGAAGATGCCTTGTTGTGGTGCGCTCGAACTGAGCGAGCGTAAGTAACGCTCATCCTTTATGTCGTTCGTTCCGGGAATCGTACAAGCGGAAGTTCCTGTTTCCCTTGTAACGTGTTAGTGTAGTATCTGTTGCACGTGTGCATATATGTGAACTTCGATGAAACGTAGATGATTTGAACCTCTACGTTTGGGGCAGGAATCTGAAGAAAAAAAGCATTATACATTAATTCGCTTTGTAATTGTAAGCAGAGACGTGGCTTTGGGGAAGAGTTTTCTGTTGGACCTTTGTGGTTAATGTCTTTTTGACTCTTACCGTGAAACTTCCCTTCTTCGAGGACCACCCTAGCTCAAGTCGCAGCGACTCCTTTGTCGGGCTACGTGACAGGCTTAGATATTTTCCTCCTTCGATCCTAATTATTCCGGGCCATTTTGGTGGATACCAGGGGAGCGAGAAGCTTGCGCACGCTCTCTCTCTCTCTCTCTTTCTCTCTCTCTCTCTCTCTCTCTCTCTCTCTCTCTCTCTCTCTCAACCCTTTCGGAAGTCTCGACCACGTAATCAAAATTTATCGCGCCGTCGCTAGCTACTTGCTTAAATCTTAACAAAGGACGATGGGGTTTTGGATGACGTTCTCCTCGCGGAACTTCCTCTTACTATCGGGAATACTAACGAGGTTAACGCAGGTCCGCTATCCTCGTTTCATTCGTATGTCGCATATAGGGGAAGAGAAGGGAACGCAGAAAAAGAAAGGAAAAAAAAAAGAAATCGCGATTGAAGCATAAACCCGCGTTTGTGCTGAAAAAAAAAATCGTCGCTGAAATTTGCCGCGCAAAAATATATCTCTGTCGTTCGGAAACGTTGAATACTCACAGTAGATGGCCGCCCCCGAGAGTATCGGGGGATGAAATATGATTACTGGATTTGTCAAAAACAGCTGTGCCATGGACATTTGTTGGCCTGGCGTGAAATTAAACTCCACGAAATTGTAACGATTGGAATTATTTGAAAAGCGATCTTACATCGCTTTTATTTTCTGATGGCACGTTCAAAAATAGTTTATCATAACAATATAGAATTATAGAAATGTTATGTTGTAGATATTCTCGTATGTTTCCATTATAGTAAAAAAAGAAGATATTAGCATAATATTTTGGAAAAAAATATGGAATAACTCTTTCTTTAATGAAAATGTAATTTGGGAACGTCAGTAAATCATAATATTTATACATTTGACTTGACAATTGAAACGTAGAGACAGCTTAATCTCGAAATTAAATACTTTGTTAAATTAATCGACATTTTTGCAATCATCCATTTCAGAACTTGACTCTATTTGTAGTTTCATTTATTTTTGCTCTCTTTTTTTGCATTTATTTTTACTCATTTTAGAAAAAGAATTAAAGACTCGGTGATAATACTTGCTGTAACGTGTTAACGCCTAGACACGTCTCTCTTTGCATGAAATTATACAGGAGCGTCATTCAGTGTCGCGCGGCAATTTTTTTGCCGGACGGAGCGTCAACAAATGGCACTATCGCCAGACAACCACGCTCTGGAAAGGAGCAGGGGTATGTCCATTTGTAAAGTCCAGTCGACTCATAAATCCATGCGGCTTTGATTCGCAGGGCCGCAAAGGAGGCAGTGGGCCGAGACTGGGAGGCGAGGAAACGTTCGCTCGGTCGTGGACGAGGTGGTGGAAAAAGGGGAGGAGAAGGTGGGAGGCAAAGAAAAGAAGGTGACGCAGGTTGCGTGCGGGTGGTCCCCTGCGGCATAGGTAGATCGCAGGTACGTCACGCGTTTTTACTCCGTTCGTAGGATACCTTCTTTACTAGCTTGCTTGTGGCTGTCGGCGTATAAGACGCTACGGAATTCGCGTCGCGAGCAGCAGGAACGGACATGAGGGAAAAATCATTAAGCGCACGGTAGCGCTGAGATATTATCGCTTTGAGGGACGGCGAACGTTTTCATTGCAAAAAACACTTCCTCTCCGCATTTTTCATTTCCTTAGATAAATCTTTATTATTTCACGCGTATTTGCGCGATTACTTTATAGGAGATACGTCACATCTTAAAATAGTTTACAATGTCCAATGTTATTTTTAAACGTTGCATGCAAAATGTGCTTTCTTTTATTTCTTTTCTTCTCGTATTCGTTTTAATATCCCTTGCGTTGATTTTTTACGAATAGTATATTGTATTTTGTGTGTATCTTTTCTGATAATAAACTACTAATTTGTTTAGATATACATATATATATATATATATATATATATATATAAAAATATATATATGTATATAGAAATTCAAAAGTTTCCAGAATAATAGAAATTTTTTAATAAAACACTGAGCGTTGCGAGATCTCACTTATTTTTCAGCGGAACAATATGTCAGCTTATTGCAGCGTGGCGACCTTCTTTTTAGCTCTTTCGGCGCAATCAAGTTGCGCGTCGAGAACCCAGAAAGAGAGAGAAAGAGAGAGAGAGAGAGAGAGAGAGAGAGATTCCGGTTAAGATTTCATCCGTTCTCTCTCTCTTTTTCCTGTTCAGTGGAGCACTGGATCCACCTACGCCTCGTGTCTGAGTCACGACGGCGTCGTTCTGGGAACGTCATTTCTGCGCTAGTGGTATTAAGCGGGCGTAGACGGTTTTTGTCAGATGGATCGCGTCGTGGCTGTCATTCCTCAAATCGGAGAAAGCAGTTCGCCGAGACTTCCCAGAGAGTGCAATGGCGATTCTGGCTTACGTTTCGGCCTCCATGATCGCGCCTTCGTCGCGCGTCGGTTCCTCGACATGCCCTTTTTCTTCCTCTCGATTATCCCTATCTTTTTCCAGCTGCGAGACGTCACGCTTCCGTAACAGCGACGACATTGATTGCACTTTGTTCCACCGGCGAATCTGCGTCCGATCTCACGCGCTCTCGTCAACAAATTAATTCGCTTATCGTGTTAATTTACGTCGGGTAAAATGATGGTTGTTTGCTTTGTGAATTTTGCCTCGTGGCCTCTTTGAAAACTACAGGATTGGATTTCTTAAATTTTTGAACGACACTTTCATGAATTTTTCTATGACAATTTGAAAACCACGAAAAGTGACCACTTCGCCTTTGTCGCGATATTGCCGAGCTCGAAGGCCGTCACGCATGTTTACTTTCTTGAACCACAGCTTGCTCCTTTTTCGGCTTTTCTCGTTTCCTGAAGCCCCCGGGGATCCTAATCGTCATGGTTTTGAGGTATCTACAGCAGGCTGCGATTTGCTTCGCTATGTACCGTTAGACGTTCTACAACATTTCCGATGGTAGTCTCGTCAATGGATACCTTTAGTTAATTTTCTGTCAGTAATATTCATTTCTTTCCAAGTCTGTAAATTTTATGAAAAATATTATATTGTTGTGCATATAAGATAATCAGTTTAATTTGACAAACGATTTACATGTAACTTTAACCTTTAGGAAGGTGCGTTCTTTTTAAATCTAGCTTTTTCTTAAATAAGATTTATTATACTTCATTGTACTTCTTACCTCAAAATTGACTATTTCAAAACCACTATAGTGATTTCCCGTCCATAATAGTAATGTCAATATTAAAAAATGGACAAATTTAAAGATTTGTTATCCCGAGATTTTGGGATTCGCTAAATTCAAATTTGATATAAAAAAATTTGAAATTAAAAATGGCAGATCCAATATGGTAATTTGGCAATGAAATAAATAAATTTTCATGAGACTGTGAAATGTAATTTAAAAACCGAGAAATCGAATGAGACATTAAAATACACAAGCGAGGCAGCATGAATAAAACTTAGTATGTAAAGATGAAGCATAAGTTTTTATTTATGAACATACGTAATCACTGGTAGCCATTTAGTTAATTCTAGTATTAAGAGTCTGACATAACAAATATTAACTATAGATAACAGCAAGCATAGAAATTATAATTTGAATAATAAATAGTACTACTATATATAACGTGTAAAAGATTTACATTTTACTATGCTAGTTATAATAAATAGATATATAAACTATTGATTTCTGCTTTAGTTTCAATTTTCGTATCTTTTATATTATATATAATTGAGAAAGGAATACACATCTCTGATTAAATTGAATAATTATTAATTGGATGGATGTAATAGTAGAATGTAATATTTTTAGAATTTATTGTTGTTGTTGTGAAAAAATAATCCTTATCAATATTTATTCTATGGGGCATATAAACAGATAAATAATAAATAATAAATAATAATAAATTAATTTAACGATATTTACAAACTTATGATGTGATATATATTGCCTCAAAAATATTTGGAGAATAATAATACGTCTAATATTTGTGTTTGATATACAGTACTTTTTTTCACATTATTCAATCTTTCTTCGCAATTATTGCTGTAACATCATTATTTCATAAAATGATTCCTCTTTTAAATCAGACGTGAAATGCGTGTAACAAATTTCATCCATTTCATCGTCTTTCAAAGATGCTTTCTATCGCTTTATGAACTGCTACCAACGACATAGCGTAGTAGATTGTAACAGAATTGTCCTGTGTTGCTAAAATCACCGGCATTGTGGACATTTAATCGGTGATGGGGCTTTTACATACGTTGTATAAATGTACTATGACTAACCTATTACTTGACTTGCTGTTTTCAGCGGAAACGAGCGCGCGATTGTCTTGACGCAGAGTGTTTAACCGCCAAATCGATTTACTGTCGGTGCATCAGCTGACGGTTACAATTAGACGTAAGAAAACGGCTAAATATTTTTTAGAACGTGAGTGATTCATGTCTTATGTCTTTAAGACCGCGCTTTTCTCGATATCCATTGAAATGTCAGGCAATGACACAAAGAACACAAGGAAGTGTCGCGCCTCTTCATTTTTTTCCTTTCTTATTGCGCGCCATATTTCTCTTTTTTTTCTTCCAACCCAGCGGCTCTTGACTGCGCAATTATGTTTGTCGAAATTATGATTGCGAAGATAGAGGAACAAAGCGACATTCTTAAAGAATTTCTCTCTTGAAGCTCGTCGAGCGTTCGGCGCGATCCTGCTTGAATTGCAGGAAAGGCGGAGTCACAGGTCATACGTCATAATTAAACAAAGTCCTGCGACAGGACCACCCAAGCCAGCGGGCCACCCCTATCCATTAGCCTCTATTAAATCAAAGCTGGCGACGGCAATAGTCGCATGAACGCGTTTATGAAATCAAAGTTTATGACCTGACATTACTAAGAGGTGAATACTTATTGTAGAATAATTCCGTAACATACGTAGAAGCTGTTTCCTTCTCACGCTCTGCGATCACTCATGCGTGCGATTATTTTAACACTTTCGCGTCAGTCGAAGGCTATCCAAGCGTTTGGGATCTGTCACGCTTTTTAGTAGCACTTAGTGTCTAATTTATTTTAAAAAAACTTACAAATTAGCATAGAATGCTGGACAGGAGATAGAACACGTGTACAATGTTTCTATAAAATGTCACGTGCACAAGCTGCGTAGCACACGTCATCACATGCTTTTTAGAATATTTTTAAATAATCAATACAGTGATGACTCGTTGCCATTTTATTCAAAGAAGTTATTTAAAGAGAAACTTCTCGTACGTGAAATAAAATACATTGAAAAGTCGCTCAATGAATCATCTCGGAGTGAATATATATATATATAACATTACATTCTGTACTCTATTAAAACCTCTGTTTAATTAATCAATGAAAGTTTTAGTACGAGATAATTAATATTTATTATTAACGATACTTTTATCAATGGAGAAACGATTTGAATGAACGAATTGATTGAATGACTGTGCATCTGATGAAAAGAAACGGAGATCTATAAGTCCCGCCGGGCCGGCGTAACGGTGTCACGGTGCACGAATTTCGAAACGATTTCCTCCTCCACAGATCTCGCCGACAATGATCCAGATGCATGCGTGCATCTGACATTTCTTCGTTCGTACCAGCGCGGAGTTGGTAGAGGGTGGTTCATAGAAG